CTTTTTCGCATGCTTTCTCGATATTGGAAAAAGTTTAATAATATCACTAGCTTCTTGCCCGGCCTTTGGCCGGGATAACTGTTGTTCGGGGTTGGTTGTGCCATCCACTTTCCCCTTTTTTGTCGTCTATGGGTATTTTTTCCCCCGTCTATGGGTATTTGATGGGTCGTTTATTATCCTTATCATTATACTGATTATATGTGTCTCCATTTTCTGTTGATGTTTTGAATTACCATATATACTCTTGACAGACAAAAGTTTAGATGTAGATTATTTAAATGTACAATGGTTAACACATCATAACATAGTCATTTGGGACCAACGCTGTACTTCACAAACATGAGTATGATGAAAAACCTAAAGTTTCGTAATATAATTATAGTATCATTGTTGTGTGATGACTATGTGCATAACTGAATGTGCCGAGTACTTGGGAGCTTTTCATTTATTTGTTGTTACTTGAATTTGCAATGATGTGACGACCAAAGGTTTCTCGTTGTTGTTCGAAGCGGGCATTAGTATCCTGGTTCGTACTTGTAAGCATTGAGTGGGAGATGGTGTGCCTTCAACATCACTTTAAGACTCTGGTTTGAGGGCCTTTGTGGTTGTTGACATCTCTTGATAAAGCTTCATCAACCATACACTTTATCGAATTGTAGGCTGGTGGGCTTCAATCCCAGTAAACTGGAAAAACAAACCAAGGAATTATGAATAAAGATAACAACTTTATGAACAAAATCAGCAACCCATAAACTTGAATGCCAATGTCAATGATCAGGGTCCCCTCACCAGATCTTTCGGTACGCCACTGGTCACATATGTAATTGGGGCATACAGGCCATCGGTTCTGGTCATAGACACCAAAGCCAGACATACAAAGCAATCTGAACTTTGCCATTCTGCACATAAGAAGTAGAAGAAGAATAAGCAAAATATGTACTCGTGGTTGTATCTTGGGTGTGTGAAATCTATAAGTGCTTATATTTTGTGGGAGCAGCGAATATCAAACAGTAGTGAAGCCGAATAAGAGAAACAACAAAAACCAAAAGGAACACTGAATTTCTAGGCGATGAGACAAATAACACAAATTCTCAACCCTAGAATCAAACAGAAATCGATTGAAACAATCAAAAGCCAAACAGAGTCCTGAAACATCATTCTTCCTCCGGCTCATCAAAACAGAACCCATAATCCAAAATTAAACGCTAAACATCCCCAGGATAGGGAATACAAATCCCACAAGTTGCACAAATTCTTAATACTGGAATCAAACAATAGCGATTAGAATTATCAAATCAAAACCCAAACCACAAAATTCAGTGGCGAAAAGCACATCCAGGAAAGGGAAATACTAACCGAAAAAACACTAATAATATTAAAATTACCTCAGAATCACAAAGAAGTCGAAAAGGGGAATATTATGATGTTGGTGGCATTCGAAAGACGGTTGCCTTCGGAGGAATCTGGGGTCTTCCATATGGTGGTCATGAGAAATGGAGAGGAGCTATTAAGGGGGACGATAGGAAGGGCATACCATCTCCATGGCGGAAAAGGGAAATCAATTGACGGAGGAAAAGGGAAGAAGATAGAAAGTGAAAGAAAATTGGGAAGTTGTCGCCGTTTGAGTTAGAACTTAGAAGAGTGGAAATCTGGGGAGTTATGGAAGGTGGGTAGGAAGAAGAAGGCGGATATGGATGTGTGAAAATTTGGGTATGGACCTTTGTAGATCAGTGAGAAGAAAATTGTTGGGGTTGGGAAGAGGGGGGATAGGGAGAAGGGCCTGGTTTTTTCACGGGAGAGGAAGAAGGGAGCTTTTTAAGGGGATGACGTGGGTAGTTGCCTTTAGGCAGGATTTGAGATTGTAAATAAAAAAATTAAAAAAATACAAATGTACTCCGAAAGTTGCGGGGAGGCATTCGGTGAGAAAGCCTTTATAATATTTTATGGATTTGGCCCTTATCCTCTAAATAACAGTAGTCCAGCAAACCTTTTGATTTGACCATAATGCTATCCATATCCATCCATAAAATATTATAAGCGCTTTCTCGCGGAACGCTTGCCCGCAACTTTCGGGGTACATTTGTATTTTTTTAAATTTTTTTATTTGCAATCTCAAATCCTGCCTCAAGGCAACTACCCACGTCAACCCCTTAAAAAGCTCTCTTCTTCCTCTCCCGTGAAAAAACCAGGCCCCTCCTCCCTATCCCCCTCTTCCCAACCACAACAGTTTTCTTCTCACTAAATCTACAAAGGTCTATACCCAAATTTTCACACATCCATATCCGCCTTCTTCTTCCTATCCACCTTCCATAACTCCCCAGATTTCCACTCTTCTAACTCAAACGGCGACAACTTCCCAATTTTCTTTCACTTTCTATCTTCTTCCATTTTCCTTCGTCAATTGATTTCCCTTTTCTGCCACGGAGATGGTATGCCCGTCCTATCGTCCCCCTTAATAGTTCCTCTTCGTTTCTCATTACCACCGTATGGAAGACCTCAGATTCCTCCTAAGGAAACCGTCTTTCGAATGCCACCAACATCATAATATTCCCCCTTTCGACTTCTTTGTGATTCTGCAGGTAATTTTAATATTATTAGTGTTTTTTCGCTTAGTATTTCCCTTTCCTGTATGTGTTTTTCGCCACTGAATTATGGGGTTTGGGTTTTGATTCGATAATTCTAATCGCTATTGTTTGATTCCAGTATTAAGAATTTGTGCAACTTGTGGGATTCGTATTCGCTATCCTGGGGATGTTTAGCGTTTAATTTTGGATTATGGGTTCTGTTTTGATGAGTCGGAGGAAGAATGATGTTTCAGGACTCTATTTGGCTTTTGATTGTTTCAATCGATAACTGTTTGATTCTAGGGTTGAGAATTTGTGTTATTTGTCTCATCGCCTAGAAATTCAGGGTTCCTTTTGGTTTTAGTTGTTTCTCTTATTCGGCTTCACTACTGTTTGATATTCGCTGCTCCCCCAAAATATAAACTTATAGATTTCACACACCCAAGATATAACCACGAGTAAATATTTTGCTTATTCTTCCTCTACTTCTTATGTGCAGAATGACAAAGTTCAAGTTGCTTTGTATGTATGTCTGGCTTTGCTGTCTATGACCAGAACCGATGCCCTGTATGCCCCAATTACATATGTGACCAGTGACGTACCGAAAGATCTGGTGAGGGGACTCAGATCATTGACATTGGCATTCAAGTTTATGGGTTGCTGATTTTGTTCATAAAGCTGTCATCTTTATTCATAATTCTTTGGTTTGTTTTTCCAGTTTACTTGGATTGAAGCCCACCAGCCTACAATTCGATAAAGTGTATGGAACGGGGATTAATATTTGGTTAGTTCAACTTGAGGTTGGTATTTCTGCCCACAGCTTTCAGCTAATCATTTATTGAGAGCACCAAACTGTAAGACCATAGCAATAAAAGGTTCAGTTTGGTACATGGTGATTGTGATATTCTGATTTTGATGTTTTTGGCTTCTATAATCCAGAACTAATATATAACCAATTCTAATGGAGATTGGGGTAAATCATAGTTTGTGGAAGCCAGCATTTAAGAGGAATGAATGGCTAAAAGCAAGGTAAAATGTTGGAAGTGTAGCTGCAACTATGGTGAAGTAACTAAAGCAAACACTGAAATGGAGAAACTGTAATTGGTCATCACAATCAAATTGCATAACTTAGTTTTTGGTGATCCACTTCTCTACAATGAAAGCTTCTTTATGTTTTTGTTTGATTAGTTGTCGTGGTTGGCATGGGAGTAGCTCAAAGTGAGGTCCCAACTCCCAAAACATAGACATCATTCTGGCAAATGATTTTCTCATCAATATCAGAATAAGCTTTTCTCACTCGAATGAAGAAGCGTGAGATCTACAAAAAAATACATTCCTCTTATGATTATGCTAATCCCCATTCGAGCTTTCAAGTTTGTTTATATATGTCTTGCCTTGCTAAAGATGCTAACTTTCAACTGTTTGTGAGACTTTGCAGTGATCTCGGACGATTCCATCATCATAGCTTACTATGGCGTGAAGATAGGTCATCTAACTACATTGCGTAGGAGTGGAACAATTGTCCAACTTTAGTTTGTATTTTTGGTTGTTGGTTTGAAAGCATTTTCATCTCCACTCTTAAATGGACAGAAAGGAAAGAGAGTGATGGTGCCTGACGACCTTTCACAGTCAAACCCCAAAATCTTGGTCACGTGTGTCGGCCTCATAAGAAGTTCTTGCTTATTAATGAAATTTGCATCAACATGTGTTGCTATAAATTAATAGGTCCTTCATTTTTTGATGCATGAACTTCGGTGCACTAATGACATATTTTGCAGGTTGATGAAGTTTTATCAAGAGATGTCAACAACCACAGAGCCCCTCAAACCAGAGTCTTTAAGTGATGTTGAAGGCATACCATCTCCCACTCAATGCTTACAAGAACGAACCAGGATACTAATGCCCGCTTCGAACAACAACGAGAAGCTTCTGACCGTCACATAATTGCAAATTCAAGTAACAACAAACAAATGATCTGCTCCCAAGTACTTGGCACCATCAGTTATGCACATAGTCATCACACAACAACGATACTATAATTATATTACGAAACTTTAGGTTTTTCATCAGACTCATGTTTGTGAAGTACATCTTTGGTCCCAAATGACTATGTTATGATGTGTTAACCATTGTAATTTTAAATAATCTACATCTAAACTTTTGTCTGTCAAGAGTATATATGGTAATTTCGAAACATCAACAGAAAATGGAGACACATATAATCCATATAATGATAAGGATAATAAACGACCCATCAAATACCCATAGACGACAAAAAAGGAGAAAGTGGATGGCACAACCAACCCCGAACAACAGTTATCCCGGCCAAAGGCCGGGCAAGAAGCTAGTAATAATAATCTGGATTTCGACTATATATGTAATGCACCATTGCTGATAATATGTTTGGTAAATTTTCAGTTTTGACTGGGTTTTGACAGTCAACTCGGATTAAGTAATTATGCAATCCGAAAAGCAACCTCTTCCTCCTCGCCGCCTGGTTCAGTTTCTACTGTGCGTGGTTCCGTTCTGGAAACAATAAAAAAATACGACGAAAAACCCAATAATTGCACCACTCTTTCGTCTCTTCTTTGTTTGTTTCCTCAAAGACAAGTATCATCACTCTTCGCCGGGAGAGCTCCAGATATTCACCCTTCTCTCCGCGGGTTAGTTTATGCTGCGTATTCCTTTGCGCATTTCTGCTTCTCTTTTCTTTCCGTCTCTTTCCCTTCCCATTGCCGGCGCTGTATCTGTTCCTTGTCTGCTTCCGGATTTCCGCTTCTATCTCTGCTGTTCAATTCACAGTTCCCGCAGTTCTTAGGGTTCCTGAAGTTCAATTTTTTAAATTTGAAGGACTTGTGTGTGTGTGAGCAAGTGCGATTTTCCCAGTGCATGCATCGTTTCTATTTTTTACTTGGCTGGGCGGGCCTTTCTTCCTGTTTAGTTCGTTCAGTGAACTGTATCTAGGATCATAGGGTATGTCGTTGTAGTTGCGGTTGGCCATTCAGTTCCTCTGCTCTTTGGGAATTTTGATTGTTAAGGGTTCTCTTATGGCTGTTGGGAATTTTCCAGTTATTAAGTGTTGTGGGTTCGTAGTGGTAGCTCTTCTATGACGTTACTTAACTTCCAATTAGTGGTTTTATGGTTTGGGCTGTAGGATGAAGGTTGACATGGAGGTACCACTTAATGCTGCTGATCAGGTAAGTGTAAATTGTACTGGACTTGGACAAGTTGTTCGTTTATAATCTGCAATCAATTTGAAGTTTATATTTTCTGATGGTATCTAAATCTACTTGGCAGGCTATTGACTTAATTGCTTCTGTGAGAGAGTTGCACGGGCTTGGTTTTCAGGAGATTAGTAAATTGTTAAGAGATGCTGAAAATTTCACCATTCATTTGAACATCGGAAATCTCATCATAAGGGTTGGCACAGTACCACTAAGATCATGTTCCTTAGTTCAGCTGTTGTATATGCAACTGACATTTATTTATTTATTCTCCAGATTGACATGGAAAAGCTCGCTGCATTTCTTCCATTGCACCTTATTGCAGTGCTGTTATCATCCCGTGGAGACGAGCGTGCCCTGAGATACTTACTAGGTGGTGTTCGGCTCTTGCATGTCTTGTGTGACCTAGCGCCTCGTCATAATAAACTTGAGCAGGTTGAATTTTAGTGATCCTCCTCAGTGTTTTTCTTTTTCTCGTACCCTGTATTATAATTTTATCTACATGTATTTGTTTTTTGTTGTTAGGTATTTGATAGACGTTTTGCATTCTACTCTACTTAAATTTGTGCCGGTAGAGATGGGAAGAGGTTGCTTCTGACTAATGCTAAGTTTTCTATTTTTGTGAAATCATTTTGCAGATCTTGCTTGATGATGTGAAAGTATCTGAACAGCTGCTAGACCTGATCTTTTATTTACTAATCATAGTTAGCCGTCATAGAAAGGTAGATCCTTGTTTTCCTTGTCTAAGGTTTACTTCTCAATTGTCTACTGTAACAGAACTTGCTTTTGTGATCCAGGAGACACTTCATTCAAGTTCATCATCTCTTCTACATCCAGCAGTAGTAGCATCCAGCCTTTACCTATTGACGTGTTCAATATCGACACATTGGCAAGATCTTGTTCAAGTACTTCTTGCACACCCCAAGGTTTGATTCTGTCATGTAATTTTTATAGTCTGGCTTCAACTATTATGGAGAAACCGCATTTGGGTTACTGCGTTTCACCTTTGCGATTTCCTATTCTGTTTCCAGTAGTAATATTTCCCATTTTGTAACCAGCATTGTTTTGTTAGCTATTTCTTCCTTCTTCATTCAACAAATTATTATCAGTTCCTCGTTTCTTGCAAATCTGAGGCATATTAACCTCTGATATCTCTCTGTTGTATAGGTCAATGTATTTATGGATGCTGCTTTTGGAGCAGTTCGTGTAGCTGTTAGGTCTCTTCAAGGCAAGTTATCAGCTCAAATTACTAGCTTTCAGATGACATCAAATCCAACAGTTGAACAAACAGCTAACTTCCTCTGCCAACAATGCGAGGCTTCTGTACAGTTTCTTCATTCCTTGTGCCAACAGAAGTTGTTTAGAGAGCGTATTCTCAGGAACAAGGTTTGTGAATATGCTGGATGTTCTATGGGTTGTGCTGACTTTACACATTAGAGTGTTGGTTTTAACTTACTAGCGCTTCTTCAGTGTTGGTGGTATTTCTTTACCATTGAAACTAGGAGCTAGTCTGTGTGTTATGGCTATGTTTGTTTGATGTTATCTAAAATTTGGGTTGTAGTCTTGTAGATATGACTCAAACAAACATATTTAACTCTATATAGAAAATTTTAGATGAAAATAATATTGTTGGTGGTGCTTACGTCTTACTACTTCCTATCTTGTGAATATTAATCATATGTAGAATTATGTTTCAGGTTTACCCCTTTTAAGAATAATCTATTCTATCATCTTTTGAAATTCACCCATTACTACATCTCGTGAACTAAATTATATGTACTTAAAAATATATCACATCAATACACTCCAATTCCAGTAAAACCTTATAAAAACTTATCTTTCTCCCGTCTCTGAAACTTAAATCTTAGATAAGATCAAGCAGACACACCTGATGTCTTTGGAGTTTTGTGACGCTCTTGAATGACTGCACAACGTGTATATAACTTTACGAGGTTGGTCCCATAGAATTCGTAGCTTTGTTTTATACCTGGTTTTGAACCGAAGGATTTTATGAAATTTGATTTCCCGTTAGTATATGTTAAAGGATTCTTATTTAGCTCACTTTGAAGGATGGATATGAAGGTGATGTTTCCCCTTTAGTTATATGTAAGTGGACTCCAATAGGCATATGTTAATGGATTCCTATTGTGGTCGCCAGGAACTATGTGGGAAAGGAGGTATTCTCTTTCTGGTCCAAGCAATCATGAAGCTAAAGATAACCACTCCTGTTTTGGAGTCTGCTAGAGTTGTTGCTAGTATATCTAGAATCAAAGCCAAAGCATTATCCATTGTAAGTAGTCTAATATCCAGCTTACCGGCAGGCAACATCTTCTTTTAGTCGCAATCAAAGATGTGCATCCTAATATCTGCCATTTTAATTCTCTGCAGCTATTAAATCTCTGTGAAGCAGAGAGCATTTCGTACCTAGACGACATTGCAAGCTCTCCAGAAACACTGGAGGTGGCAAAGTCTGTTGCATCGGAGGTCTGTTTCTGATGCATACAGTGGATCCTTTGAAGTTCACAATGAATATAGTTTTGTATGTTAGCTTGCTTAACCCAGTATGACCCCAGATAAAACCTTAAAAAAGTTTGCTTTTCGTGGAGATGCGTTGATTTTACCTGCAGATTGTAAGACTGGTGATGAAAGTTATAGAGATCCTGTTTTTTCTGTCTCTGGGTTTGATTCTTGATTCTTATTGTCTGTAGGTGCTGGAAGAACTGCGAGTTGGAGTTTGCAGAGGCGGGAGACACCTTTCACCATCTCCTGTCAAATTCTCTCCCACAGGGCTTCTCCAGCTCAATGCACTTCGATTAGCAGATGTTTTCTCGGATGATTCAAATTTCCGCTCCTACATTACCATAAGCTTTGTAAGTAATCGCTAGATTTCACAAGCTTTGCTTAGTCACATGCTTTTGGCATGTGGTTTCAGTACTTGTACAAAACAGCTCACAAGTTTCCATATAAATTCAGCGTTCTCTTTCTAATTGACTGATTTAACTTAAATGCGTTACTTTACTTTGGTTCCCCTAGTCTGATGAATGGAATTTGTAGTAAATTTTAAAAGTCTAGGGGAACTTTGTTTTAGTTTGCAATGATGTGCATGCATACTGCATTATGTATTAACCTTCCCTGTCTTGTCTTTTGAATTCTTGACTTTTCTGAACCTCAATTTGCCAGACCAAGGTTCTGACTGCAATATTTTCACTTCCTCATGGAGAATTTCTATCAATTTGGTGCTCTTCTGAACTTCCACAAAGAGAAGAAGATGCTACTCTGGAATATGATGCCTTTGCTGCTTGTGGATGGGTTTTGAATGCCACGAAGGTTTCGAGTCCAACATTTTTAGAAACTAACCTTGTCTCAAGTAGTATGCCTCAAGCTTCCTACTCCCATCAGAGGACTTCATTATTTGTGAAAGTAATTGCAAACCTCCATTGTTTTGTTCCCAATATTTGTGAAGGTTACCGCTCTTTTTCCCTTGATTCTCTTCTGATTTGCATAACATGTTGCCTCTGATTTAGCCCTTCTATTTGTTACTTCATACTTCAACGCCTTTTTGCTGAATTTTCAGAACAAGAGAGGAACCTCTTTCTTCACAAGTTCCTTGAGTGCATGCGTCTGGATCCAGCTGAATCATTGCCTGGATTTTCTTTTAGTTCTGGGACCCAAAAAGCTGCCACTGTTTGCAGGAACTTGCGTAAGCACACACCCTTCCATTGTTCTGTCACACTATACTTACCACTGTTAGTAATTGTCTTAATGGTGGCTTAAACTTGTAGGTTCATTGTTATGTCATGCTGAGTCCTTGATTCCCAACTTCTTGAATGAAGAAGATGTTCAACTCTTAAGGTGTTATATTTGTTTCATCCTGATGTTTAGTTTCTAGATTGTGAATGAATATTTATGAATGGGTTATTACTCAACGATTGGCTGCAGGGTATTCTTTAATCAATTACAAGCAACGATTACTCGTGCTGAGTTTGAGGAGAACCATGTAAGATTCTTTGTGTAATTTTTGCTCTATCTACTGCTCCATTCCCAATATGTTATTTCATTTTCCTTTCCCTTTGTCAACTGAATTTGTTGAATTATGCTTTTGGCCAACTTTAGGGGAAAAAGTCGCCATCTTTGGATAAATTCTCCAAGCTAGACATCAATGATCATCAGGTAAATGTTGGGGGTTCATGGTCACTCCATTCTTAATAAGGAGTTGGTACAGGGTCGAATTTGATTAGGCATGCAATATTTTGGGATCAATATCTTTAGTTATTAAACCTGCATATGTTATTTGCCTGAGGTACAAGAATTCTCGAGGCTGAGGTGCATGGTACAAAAATGCTGATGATTTAAATCTTCAAACCACTTTGGTTGTCATTATGTTTTTTCTTCCAGAACTAAAACGTGCTGTTGGTAAATTTTAATACTCCTAGGAGGGTCAAAGCATCGGAGGGAAGAAGGAACCTTCAAATGCTACTACCAACAGAAGTGGCAACCACGAGGAATCTTCAGAAAATTCTGCTTTGAAAGACAATCAACTTAACTTCCGAAATGACCACCTGAATCTAGGGGAGACTGCATTAATTAGAGAAGACAAGGAAAAATCCAGTAGGGGTGCCTTTAGGGAGATTGACAGGGATGGCCAGAATGTTGAAACAAGTGGCTCAGACTCCACAGCTCCAAGAGGAAAGAGTTTTGTCGATTCACATAGCGACTTCTCCAAATCTGGAAGGAATAGTAACAAAGAGAGTGGGATTAGGGGAACCCACGAGGATGAAAAAACTGAAGCCGTTCAATCTGATGAGAAGCAGCCTAGGAAGAGGAAACGGACCATAATGAATGACTATCAAATATCACTTATCGAGAAGGCCTTGCTCGATGAACCTGATATGCAGCGAAATGCAACATTACTACAGACTTGGGCTGATAGATTAAGTGTCCATGTTAGTAGATTTTCTCCTCCTTTCGTTATTACTTGCAAAATAATTTAAGTTTGCTTTGTGCCACAGTCATTGTTGATTAATTGCACTTGTGATTTTTTCTCCAGGGTGCAGAAGTCACATCATCACAGCTGAAAAATTGGTGAGGAACTCGATTCACATTTTCCGCTTTTCAGTTCACAGTCTTTGCATTTGCTGAACTGTAGTTTTGTTATGCTTGTGCTCAAATAATAGGCTGAACAATCGGAAGGCTAGATTAGCGCGTGCAGGCAAGGATGCCCGAGCGCCAATGGAGGTGGACAATGCTTCTTCACAAGAGAAGCAAGTGGGACACGGGCAGCAATCACGATCACGGGACTCACCCGAGAGTCCTGCTGCAGAGGATAATGCCCCATCGAGCACAAGAGGAGGCGCTGTTCAAAGCAGCAGCATGAAGATGGGTGGTACAAGTGAAAGCAGCACTTGGATCCACACAACAAGGGATCTCGTGAGTAGCGGTGGAACACAACCTCTGCAGTACACGCCAGGGCAGCGAGTGGTGCTTGTGGATGGGCAAGGATTGGAGGTTGCCAAAGGGAAGGTGCACCAAGTGAAGGGGAAATGGTTTGGGAAGAACTTGGACGAGTTATCGTCAGGTGGTACTTGTGTGGTAGTGGATGTTAATGATCTGAAAGCTGATCGATGGACCAGGCTTCCCTATCCATCGGAGATCACGGGGAATACATTCAGCGAGGCAGAAACCAAGATAGGGGAGATGAGAGTGTTGTGGGATTATAAAAAGATGTACTTGTTGAGGTCTACATGATCCTTCCATGGGTTTTGGGTACACACATGGAACGGTGTTTAATACCAGGTATCGGTGGCCTATCAGCACTGTTTGTTTCATTCCAGACGAGATCTGTAGGAGAAGATGGCTACAAGAGATTGTAAGAGAAGGCTGCTGAGTGCATGTGGAAGTAGTTGCAGAATGTTTTGGTGTTAGAGAAGCTGTAAAAGTATTTAAAAGGTGGTAGATGTCACTAAAATTATGCGCTTAATGGTTAGACTGAGTTTCAATTAGAACTCTTGATGCACCTGGTGTATCTCTAGGGTTTCCAGCTCTTTCTTACTAGTGAGAAAGCATAATTAGAAGTTCTATCATCCATGCTTGTAGGGTGTGCAACTGCAAAATTCATGAGAATTGTGGTGAAAAATGTTTTAGAAATTAGAATCAATACCCCATCAATCGGTACTAGTTATTGTCATTTGGATTCCTTGGCTTGATTTGTCCGATGATAAATGCGAAAAGAAGGATCCTCCTGGTCTAATGGGCAAGCTGGGGCAAAATCAATATTGCATTTGGTTTGGTTTGATTTGAATGTCAATTTAGTTTGGGAAACCCGAACTATTAAGAAAGTGTCATTTATATTTCGAACTATTTAATATTTCATTTATGTCCCAACGTATGATAGTTGTGTAATGTGTGTCATTTATGTTCTGACGATTTCGTTGACCGTATAGATAACGGTTTACCAGAAGGTGATCAACTTGATGTTGACTTAGGAGCGAAATTAATGGAGCGATTTGGGGATTTGTAACTTTTCATTTTTATTTTTTAATCATTTTAGATAAATATCAATACTAAAAATTCCATATTGATGGTCAACACTAATGAAAAAAATTGTTTAGGAAGTAAATGTTTGTGACACAATGAAAAATAGTTCAGAAAATAAATGTCATATTGAGTAGTTTTTGACAAGTGATACTTTTTTTATAGTTCGAATTTCGTAATGATTTTTATCCTTATAGTATTTATAAAATTCACGAAAGAAAAACAACAAAGATAAGAAGACAAAATCTCTTCTTAGAAAACCCATCAAACTTTTAGTCAAAGCCTCAAGACCACCACTAAAAAACACATCACCAATCTCTGTCTCCTTACAAAGATATATATAAAATTATTATACATTAATAACAACCTTTTCCCTCCCTATCCCTCTCCTTGCACACCACACACAGACTGAAGTAGTAATACACACATATGGCCAGAGGTATAATCCTTCATTTGTTGCCAAGCCACATTTTTTTGGGGTTTAATTTTCTCTTATCACCAACAAATTAATTTCCTTTGCACAAACTAGTTTGATCCAAAAGATGATCGGTCATTAGGTTACGCTCATCCCAAGTCACTTCTTGACCATTAACTACCGTTGACATAATGAAAATCATCGATCAAACAAACACCGTGTCACGCCTCTTTTTTGGATTAGCTTCTGGGTTCCCTTTTCTCATCATCGTCACAAACTCCTCATAGTTGATCCGGCCGTCCTATGACAATAAAAGAGCAAGAGAAACAACATTACAATTATTAGTTTCCGAATCATACAAAGTGACCAAATACGAGAAACTTTTGCACCAATCCAATTATCACGTACATTATCATTGTCAACCTCAGAGAGGATGTCCTTGAGCTCTTTGTCGTCATTGATACCGAATTCGATGAGAGCTTGCTGAAGCTCTTCAGTAGTGATGTACCTAATTACAGCATAAAAGTGCAACAACATTCAGTGGTGAATTTCGAACGAAATAACCCTCAAGTAAACAATGTTATAACTAATTAAATTCATATTGATGATCATAATTACCCGCTGTTGTCTTTGTCGAAATGTTGGAAAGCAGTGTAGAGATGTTCTTCTCTATCCATCCTGTTCATGTGCATTGTGGCTGTGATGAACTCATCGTAGTCAATGGTTCCATTCCCATCTGCATCAGCCTATAATGTTCCAAAATCAAGCAACAAATTGATTAAGAAGTCTTGTAAAAATAAACATGATTAATCAACACATGTTAATGGTAATTAACTTACTGCTTCCATTAATTGTTTGACCTCAACTTCAGAAAGCTTGGTTCCTTGCTTTGCCAGCCCTTGTTTGAGTTCCTCGAGGGTTATTGTGCCACTATTGTCAGTGTCCATGCCCTTAAACATCTCCTTGAGTCCCATGATTTCTTCCTCCGATAAGCACCCAGCGATAACCTATTTATCGAAAATGTTAGCGATAAAATATTTTATAACGAAACCGTGGTTTAACCGTTTCCAAAGTATGTACGTACCCTAAGAGCAACTTTCTTGAATTTGTTCATGGCTTTGAACTGCTTGAGTCTGCCCAACACAGCATTGTCAAGAGGAATGTCGGGTGCTTCTCCATCCTCTTGGATCCATGGATGCACTTGATAATAATAATCACAAAATCCCAACAAATAAATTATGAATTCTTCTATGTTAAGTGATGAAAAATTACCAATGCATGCATATGGTTTAAGGTACTGTAGAACAGGGGAAAAAAAAAACATTAACTCATTGCTTACTTAGGACTTGAGAAGCTGTGAGCCTTTGTTTCGGATCCGAGTTGAGCATCTTTCGAACAAGGTCCTTGGCCGGTGGCGAGATCGACGGCCATGGATCGCTCGTGAAATCGATGTGACCACGTAAAATCGCGTTGAATATTCCATGCTCGGATTCTACAATTAATATCAAAATCATCATTCGAAAATATGATGAAGATGATGTTCAAATGCATTAAATATTCTATCTAAGCACATTTTTTAATATTTTTTTGGTGTCGATGATTAATATATTCCTTCCAACCTTAATAGTTAATACAACTATCCTAAATATATGTACCCGATCTCCTTAAAAAAATTGGATTCCGTTCTTACCTCCACTATAACACGAATAATATATAACAATAGCATGTAACATTGCTAAAAATGAAACACAAATAGATTTACCTGCCCAGAAAGGAGGAACACCACATAGAAGAATGTACAACATAACCCCAATGCTCCATATATCAGCTTCTGGCCCATACTTCCTCTTCAACACTTCTGGAGCTATGTAATACGCACTTCCAACAATGTCCTTGAACTGCTCCCCTATATGATGATAATTAAAAACAAAAATAGGTTAAAATTATTCAAAATCAAAAGAAAATGCAATAACAATATCATACAAAAACAATATTTAAGAATAATTTCCCCCCATCATCCGGTTCCCCAAAGGGTAAGCAGAACATATACGTGAGTATATACAAGATCTTTGCAGGTCAGATCTTTAAAAAAAAGTGAAAAAAACTCAGCAAAAAAGTGACTATCTAACGATACAAAGACTTGTTTGATCGATCCAACGAATCCAAAAACAAACCTGGCTTGTAAAACACAGATAGCCCAAAATCGGTGGCCTTAAGCGGAGCGCTCTCATCCTTACTAAGCAGGAGGAAATTCTCGGGCTTAAGATCCCTATGAATCACCCCCATCGAGTGACACGTGTGCACGATCTGAACAATGGTCCTTAGCAGCGAAGCCGCGGCTCGCTCCGTGTAATGACCTTTTGCGATGATCCGGTCGAACAGCTCACCGCCAGCGCACAACTCCATGACGAGGTGGACCGAGTGCTTGTCCTCGAAGGCCCCCTTGAGCTCGACGATGTTGGGCTGGCCCGTAAGGTGGTGCATGATCTGGACCTCCCTCCGCACGTCCTCCAGATCCTCCTTGTTCACCAATTTTCGCTTCGCGATGGTCTTGCACGCGAACTGCTCGCCCGTGGACTTGTGGGTGCACAGGTGGGTGACACCAAACTGGCCTCGACCTAGCTCTTTCCCGATGGAGTACGTGGACTTCACGTCTTCCATGGGTCGGCCCAGGACGGGTCCGATGGGGGCGTTCTTGGATGGCTTCGGGGAGGCCTGGGGCGGGCCGGGGGATGGTGGTGCAATTTTGGATCCGTCTCCTCCGGCGCTGCTACCACCCTGTTGTTGTGTGCCTTCTCCCTTTTCTTCATTGGAGGCATCTCCTTCGCTGCCTCGTGAACAACAGTTCCCCATTTCTCTCTAGGGGATGAGACTCTCTGAGAAAGGAGAGAAGAGAGAGATAGGGAGGGAGGGAGAGAAAAAAGAGAGTGATGGGTTTTCTTTTCTTTCCTTGTTTTTCTCTCTTCTTCCCCTTCTGGGGGGTGGCCTAGCTATGACAAGCGGTAAAGAAGAGGAATTCCTTGGGGTATCAAAGAGGGAAGAAAGAATCGATGGATGTTAGAGAGAGAATACGATGTGTGTGTAGAGAGAGAAAGTAGGGTTGTTTCTGTTTGCATTTTGTTAAATTGTTTTGATTTGTTGACAGTTGTTTTGGTAATGGATGGAAGATGGATGGCGAGGAATTGTAGGATTGGATGAGGTATTGTTGGTTTAAACGAGAATGAGTCTTTTTTTAGGGGGCAGGAAGAAAGGGACAGAGTGGATTGAATTTTGTTATTACAAGCAACTTACGATATATCATTCCATTGCATGCATGAGACGACCTTGGTATGTTCTTGTCGTTCATGTTATTGTTGGTAAGCCAACTCGCATCATTAAAGGCATACATGGAGAGTATTAGTTCGAACTAGAGTTAAATGGGATCTCATATACTAATAAATTTGATAGATTGTGTTGAATTGTAAATACATTCCTTTTAACATATTAAATAACTGATTATTTAGCCTCCCTTAAAGGAATTTTCTAATGAATGAAAGTGGTCAGGTTAAAAAAAAGGTAGCATAACTTATTTGTCGTGTAATCCTGAATGAAAAAGTGATATTTTGATAGTTAAAATAAGTGTCAATTATTCATATAATCCAAGGTTCTAAAAGGCGTAAGGCAAGCGCTCGGCTCCTGACTTGCGCCTTGCCTGATTAGGCGTAGCCTAGGCGCGCCTAGGCGTTCAGAGCATAAATGGAAAAAGTTCTCAAATATTTCCTGTTTTCTGGAATAATTCATATAATCCAAGTGCATATAGAATTAGCAATGCCTAGTTCTTAATAGTAAACACTTAACATAACAAATAACAAGCAAATAGTGAACACTTCCTAGAATCACAAGTTCATAAAATGTCGAAATACTAAACAATAGTCAATAAGTTCATAGGAAAATGTTCATTCTTCATCATCCAAGTAGGTCCGTCCAGCCACCACTTCATCTTCATCATCCTCAAAAGCAATCTCCTCACCATCCTCCTCCTCTTCCTCCTCTTCAGACTCTAATTCTTCATCATGGAGCTCTCTCACTCGTGCACTCCTGCGAAGCTCACTCTGTTCACCCGTCATTGCATCTGTAACAGTACTCGAGGGTGCACAATATGATTCCTCATCCTCATCTACGAATACATACATAGCATGGTCATCCCCTTCCCGTGTTTCTGATTTTTTAGGGCAAGAGGCAATTTTCTGATTTTCTAGGACAAAACGAAGAGTATTGGGTTTAACCGCCTAAGCTCGCCCAGGATCGCCCAGGCACGCCTTCTCTCCACTAGGCGCAAACTAAGCGCTATTCCTACCTACTAAGCGCTACCAACGCCTTTTACAACGCCTTTGGCCAAGTCAAGGCGATCCTCCACCGCCTAGCGCCTAATTGAGCTTAGGCGTGCGCCTAGGCGCGCCTTCTTGAACCCTGATATAATCATATTATAGATATTGAAGAAAATTACGTAAATAGAACAAATATGTTGGGTTGCAAATTGCAATGTCTTTTTAGTTACAGGGAGGACATGCTTTTTCCCTGATAATTGTTGTTGTATTATTAAGCTCTATCTTAGCCAACTTGACCAAGATTTTGTCGAAATCAACACTACAAGTCTGCCGATTACAATCATCACAAAGTTATAGTCTATACTATTAGCTATCATATTGTTACTGATGGGACCACGTGTAAGAGCGGTATCGGGTCTGAAGCCCAAGGAGGAAGGTCAGCAGGCTCAACCCAATAAGTAGACCGATATGCAGTTAAAGAGGTTAGGCGGTCACCTAGGGACAAGACAGGAGGACCGCCTGACATAAAGCAGTGATGAAGACAGGGAGGAGATCAACTAAGATCTGCCTCGGTATAAACAAAACCAAGCATTATTTACCGCCGTAGGGGGTTCTGTATGAAATAGGGTATGTTTAGGGCGCCTGACATGGCATTTAATGCCTTGAACCCATCTCTAGTTGAGTATAAATACCCCATGAGAGCATTGATGGTAAACTCAACTACTCTCTCTCTCTCTCTCTCTCTCTCTAAACCTAACACATATTCTCTCTTATCTCTATAACTTAATCTTCAGAGAGTGTTGCAACCGGCCATGAACCTTTGTTTCGCAGCGTCCAGGAGTGCGTTCCCTCACCAAGAACATACGCCTCACTCGTGTTCCACACAAACAACCTAGTATTTTCTAGGCTAAAACAATTTGGCGCCCACCGTTGGGCACAGAGTGAAGCACTGAAGAAATGATGGACGAGAGCTCCGGAACCCCAGTCAAGGGTGTGGTCCAAAGAGAAGGCATTCGCGAGCTAGAGATGCCAACGGTAGAGGAGGAAATGCTGATAGAAGATCGTGTGAAGGATCAAGGACAACAGATCTCCAGCATACAGTAAAGCTTAGGCCAAATCCTTGTCATGCTCAAAGCGAGGGATGTGCCGGTAAGCTCAAAAAGGCAGAAGGGCAAAGGCAAGGAAGTGAGGGAAGAAACCCCCGCAAGTCGTGCTCAGACAGAGGGCGGGAGGTCTGAAGGAGAAGAAGGCGATGAGGAACTAAACCTAAACTTCTTGGAAGAGCACCTCAGGTCCTCATATGGAAAGACGAAGAGCCACAACATATTGCAAAACCCACTGGCAAAAAGTCTGTTCAAAACGCAAGTGCCATCTAACTTTTTGTCACTAGGCCTGCCAGCCTACAATGGAAACTCCGACCCGATAGACCATCTGAGCGTCTTTATGATCAAGATGAAACTCATCAACGCCTTAGATGCAGATCTGTGTAAAGCGTTCTCGGTCACCTTCCGCGGTCAATGCCGAACTTGGTACACTTCTCTCCCAGAAAGAATAATCGAGACTTTCGAGTAGTTCGCCACGCTCTATTCATCAAAATTTGTGTCCCAAAGGAGAAGGAAGCTCACAGTGTCGACGCTCATCAATTGTAGACAAGAGAGAGAAGAGACACTAATTGACTTCTATGACAGGTGGAACACAATAGCCAGTGAAGTACAGGGAATCTCGCCCAGCATAGTAGCGGGCAACCTACGAATGTCCACCCACAGCCGTGAACTGAAAAAGGGCTCTCATCAAGAAGAAACACAGGTTAAGGTCTTGGCTAGACCTCGACCGCCTAGTAAGGAAGACCATCGTGTTGGAAGAGGCGCTAACAACTAACAATGCTATCCAGGCAAGGGCGCTGAGGAAGAAGGCAACCCACTACACATTGGTGGAGGAGCAGCTATTTAAGAGATCTTTCTCAGGCGTGTACTTGAAGTTCTAGGGCCAGATGAGGCGAAATGGATGATCAAGGAAATTCACCAGGGATCATGCACTTCACACTCTGGACCGCCAAGTCTGGAAAGAACCATATTGCTGCAAGGCTACTACTGGTCAACAGTGAAGAAGGATACAATGGGGACGGTTCGGAGGTGCCACGAATATCAAGTACATGCCAGCAAACAACATCTGCTCAGTGAAGAGCTAAACAGCATAACAGGGCCATGGCCATTCTACAATGGGGGTTAGATCTATTGGGACCGTTCCCCACTGCTCCTATGGAAAAAAGCACCTGGTGGTGACTGTAGACTACTTCACGAAGTGTATTGAAGCTGAACCACTTGACATAATCACATGTGCAAAAATCCAGAAGTTCCTGTTCGACAACATAATGATCAGGTTTGGGACTCCTAATGTCATCATTACTGATCATGTTACACAGTTTGACTGCAGGCCGTTTGAGAATTTTTTTGCACAAGAAACCGTATTACTTGCAAGATGGCCTCAGTCGCATTCCCCCAAGCCAATGGGAAGGTAGAGTCGTCAAACAAGCTGATCTTACGGGGGTTGAAGAGAAGGCTAAAGGAAGCTAAAGGAGGGTGGACCGCAGAGCTGCCACATGTACTCTGAGCACATTGCACAAATTATAAGAGAGCAACTAGAGAGACGCCATTCGGTCTAACGTATGGCTTCGAAGCGGTCGCACCAATAGAGATGGCCCTTCCATCCCTGAGAATCCAAGCCTACAACTCGAAAGAAAATCACAAGAAGCTTCTGCACTAGTTGGACATTGTCGAAGCACGGCGGGACTCGACCGATAGAAGAAGGTGACATGGTCTTAAAAAGAGACTTTGAGCAGAAGGAGGGACACAGAAAGCTGGCCGCCATATGGGAAGGACCATACCTCATCGGCGAGAAGATAGGCCCTGCAACATACGTACTAGCCATAATGGAAAAGAAGCTGATATCCAAGACTTGGAACGCTATCCATATGAAGAAGTACTTCACGGAATAGGACAAGGGTAACTCGTAGGGCTACTAGGCATTTTGTACGATCATTACCTTGATCACAGCCTACAATGTATTTTGTCTACAAGACACGCTCAAAGGAGCCTCTCGCAATTTAAACCACCCTGAGCGTTTGGCTTTGGCAGTTCACTCCAGCCGTCCCATAACAGTAAGCTTGAAATTGACTGTAATCTCAACCGGCCCCGAGCGATAAGCTAAAAGAACTTTCACAGTCTAAACCGCCCTAAAGCGATAAATTTAAAATTGTTCACGATTCCAATCACCTCCAGGTGATAAGCTGAGAATTATTTGCCATTCGAACCGCCCCGAAGCTATAAGCTTAGGAACTATCTTTTCAAAATTCAACCACCTCCGGGTGATAAGAATTAATTCGCAATATGAACTGCCCTAGAGCGACAAACTTAAAATTGTCTACAATTCCAATTGCCTCCGGTTGATGAATTAAAAATTTTTCACATATCGGGTAGTCCCCGAGCAATATGTTATTAATTTTCCTAACAATTGCAACCGCCCCCGAACGCTAATCTAGAAATTGTCTTTACCATTTCAACCGCCTCCAAGCAAAAGGATATCAAGATCCAAACCGCCTCCGAGCTACGATCTCTACATTTTTAGACCGTCTCGAACGAACGCATAGCGAAAATCTTAAACCCAATCGAAACCAATCTCACGCGGTTAAGATAAAGCGACAAGAAAATTAGGATAAATAGGAAAAGAGCATCGTCATTACAAAACAAAAACTGTCTTAAGCTCCCTCAAGAGCGATGAAATAACAAGAGAAGTTAGGAGAGAAAGATCATTAAGCAGAACCGTCATCAGCTGCAGGTGGCTGGTCGACCTCAACTCCAGTGTTTCCCGTTGAAAGGGGGGAAAGCTCAGAGTTCACGTCGTTGTTGCTACAAAATTCCATGGCATCCCAGATAGAATTAGCGTCCCAAACAACTCTGGGGTACACATGACGAAACCAGTAACAGAATGAAGCAACGTTGTCCCTCAACAATTTCTTATACTTTGCTTCATCTGCCTCCTTGAATTCGTCAAACTCCAGGAACGTAGCTTTGGTGGCCTCAGGCGTGTTGAGAAGCTCAGCTTCGTGGTTGTCCTCCATCAATGCCATGTCTTTCTTCAACCTGTGCACTTTGTCTCTCAAACTTTTCTCCCGTTCAGCGGCCTCCAAGGACTCTTTTCGGAAGCGCTTAGCATCTTCCTTAACCCGTTTCAACTTCTCCCGCACGGCAGCCAACTCGACATCTTTCAGCTGATGTTCCAATTGAAGGATACTGGTGTCGCGTTCGTCCAAGTCACTCTGAAGGCGGTCGTTGTGCAACATCAGTTGGTTTATCCCAAATTGAGTCTGTAAAAATATCCAAGCTAGAGAAAAATAACCACCAGGTACTCACATTATAAAAATCATGCTTACCGCAAACAGGCAACGCACGGTTGCGCCGGCCAAGTGTCTGGTGTCAGACTTGTGGACGTGAGTACCCGCAATCCATCTGTAATCACTGGGGACCGTAAACTCATCCGAAATGACATGCAAAGCGTGTTTGGTCGCATCATGGGATACAGTTGCGTTGGGAGAAAATGCCACAGTCGCTGCAAGCTCCGTCATCTTCTACTTGTTTTTGTTCGTGTATGCAACAAGGGGATCAGAAGGAGTGTTGTCAACAAGGACGCCTTTCATCATTGATTGACTTCTCGAAGACCGATTGTCGATAAGAGCCGCAGTCTCCAGTGACCGCTTCCCAGACCCGTGGTTGGAACCCACCTCAGCAAACTTGAGCTCCTCGGAGCGACTCGCAACAAGCTATGTCTGAGCAGAAGGTAGGGGAGCAGTGGCCCGAGTCTTTGTTGGGTTGACAGGAAGCATAGCAGCTACGACCACAGAGGACCCGGTGCCTGGCTTCGACGGTCTCGCCATATTAGCATACCGTCGAGTTCCTGCGAAAGCAACTTATAAGTAAAAGCATGAGAGAACTTCGAAATAACCAAGGATGAATTAACTGATTGTGAAAGCGCCGAACTATATCCAGCCCGTTATCATGCCCTTTAGGAGGAAGACGAAAATTGAACAGTTGACATTATTCGTTAGAGAAGGTCTTTAAAGGGGGCAAGAGAATCAAGTTTGGTGTTCTAATCCCCTTTATCGCCAACCGCGAACCCAGTCGACGGCTCTACGTCACTAGAGTACCATCTCCCAGCGGGACGAGCAAAGAAATACTCTTTAAACCAATGAGAATCTAACTTGGGTGAGGCGTAGACAAATCTCACCCGAGACTCCCACCTGTAGCACGACCAACAGTTGTCTAAGCCGCGCATGGTATACAAGAACTGGAAAGCATAAAATGAAGGCTCTACCCCCAATATTTTACAGGCCGCGCGAAAAGTTATGAAGTGAAAAATGATTCCGGGAGAAAGACGTCCAAGTGTACACTTGAGGTGCAGAAGAGTTTGGGTCAGTATAGGACCAAGGGGGAATTGAAGACTCACCCTGATATGCTCCACATGGATGGGAATCCAACCGCTTGAATAAGAACCGGATCGCCCGTCGAGAGAAGGAGTTGCATAATCCCACTCCTCGGGCAGACCGTGATTCTTAAATTGACGAAGAACTTCAGATGGCCGGTAAGTAGCTAAATACGGTGGTCCTTGTTTGAAAACATGTGCGGGTATTTTTTCTCCCTCCCACATATCCGCGTGCAAGCGCACGCGATATGTATCGTCAGCAATCGTCTGGAAAGGTGCTATGGGCGGCCCCACAAAAATGGTAGGTGGAGAGTCAAGAGCAGAGTTTAGCCCCTTGGACGGCTAGTTTAGCCCCTATAGTAGGGCCGCTAGATCCACCGCCAGTTTTAGAGGACGAGCAAGGGGGAGTCGTACCATCGATGTAAGTCCGGGCATTGGCGAAAATGGTGCCGGTATGACTTATGAGCATCGCTCGATAAATTCTTGTTCTGGCTATCGGAGGGAGTAGTGGCCTGAGAATCAATCTCCTTTTATGCCATTCGCCTCTTCCTTTTCGCTCGCTTTTGAGCTCATCGTAACTCCGAAAGATATGTGGCTCGCTTCCTAGAAAGAAGCAGATGACTTTGAAGGTAAGAAGAAAGGAAAAATCAGGAGCAGTGAGCAATCTTTGCTTCGGGTTAGAAAAACTTCATAGCAGGAGAAGGGAAGGTAAAAGTGAAGAAGACGAGCAATCGCCTCGTTTAAATAGAAGCGAAAAAGCAGGGCAACGACGATGTGACGGTTCGGTGACCGAGAAAAACCCTACTCTACTAATTCAAAAAACGGGCAGTTGAAAAGACGGCCATAGTGCCCGTTGTCAAGGCTCGAAATTCAAAACTCGCCACATGGACGATGAAGGGAAAAAGAAACGCCTAGTTAGTAGGCGGTTGAAGTCAAGTAGGACAGTTTAGTTTCCTTGACTGGTCATCTTAGTCTCTCAAGCGGCAAGGGGCAAAGTATAGGGCAACGTTTAATTGGAGGAATGACTACTCGACACGATAGAAAGACAGTCATAGTCGTCAAAGCCCAAAGATTTCCCGCCTAAGGGGCAATTGATGGGCCCACGTGTAAGAGCAGTATCGGGCATGAAGCCCAAGGAGGAAGACCAGCAGGCCCAACCCAATAAGGAGACCGATATGCAGTTAAAGAGGTTAGGCAGTCGCCTGGAGACAAGACAGGAGGACCGCCTGACATAAAACAATGATTGAGACAGGGAGGAGATCGACTAAAATCTGACTCCATATAAACAATGCCAAGCATTAATTGCCACCGTATGAGAGCATTCATGGTAAACTCAACTACTCTCTCTCTCTAAACCTAACACATATTCTCTCTTATTAATCTAACTTAATTTTCGGAGAGTGTTCTGGGCAACCGCCCACGGGCCTTTGTTTCGCAGGGTCCATGAATGCATTCTCTCACCAAGAACAGACACGTCACTCGTGTTCCACACAAACCACCTAGTACTTTCTAAGCTCAAACAGTTACAATACTACAACTACAGCAAACTACTAATGCATACCATTAAGCAATACATTGAAAGTAGATGCAGAGAGTTCTGCACAACATAATTAAAAAAAGGACCTGATTAAAATCCTCAAACAGTGTAAAGTCCAATGCCCCTTCTAATTTACTCAAACAAAGTAACTTTCAAGAAACAAATGAACTTTCAAAAAATCCAACATATACATCTTTCATCATGTTTCACTCTAAAAACGAGCCAACTCCAAATGCCTATCCAAAGACCAACACAAGGATACATGAAGAAAAAGACATTGTTACTTCCACCTCTGTTCCTCCACAAAGCAGAAAGTCTCAAACATACAGCACCCTGCTAAAGACGGAAGCCCAAGCCCAAGCCCGATTACCCCAATGCACCGACCCATGCAAAGAGCCCATGACCTCTCTATCCGTCGCAAGCCCATTACAGCTAAAGCATGCACACACTGTTGACTTCAGCTGACTAATGAAACCAACGACCAGTTCTGACAATCGCAACTCGCGAGCTGTTATGGATCTAAGAGGCTTCAGCCAAGATCATTCAACCAAAGACCAAGAACTTGTTTGCTCTCAGAGGTACAGAACTTTCGAAACCCCTGTATCTACAATGTTCAAGCCCGATCGACATATTCGAAATCGAATTTTGTACTCTGCATCAGCACCGAAACGACAGTTACAGCGACATTGTTACAAGATGGAATTACAGTACTAAACTAGTCCTTCCTAACAGCATTTTCTTTCTGCTTCTCCATTTCCCCCCCTCGTATATGTCTAGCCCTCTTGCCTCCTCCCTTTATTTCTGATGTTGAAGTATCAAATTGGGAAGAGCCACGGCTATCAACATAAAAGAAACAAAGAATGATATACAGTTCTTACAGCTTAGCTAGGAGAGGAAGCTGCTGCTGGCGAGGAAGAATGACCGGCTGGACGAGGCTTTGGCGTCCAAGCATAGATGAGCAAGCCTAGAACAAGGATGATGGCTCCCCCAACAAAGCCCTTTGGCAGGGTTGATGCCACTCCGATATATGGCAATGGCAGCGTGAACATGAACACCGATATCGGCACTACCCATAAGAAGATTGATCGTCATCAGAAAGCGTGAGATCCAAGTAATCGAGTGAACGCAGAAATGAAATGTAGGTGAATAAATTTCCCCTTACCAGAAAATGTGGAAGCAAGTGAAGATACAACAGCGGATGATATCTTGAGCAGGTGGAGCAACGATATGTTGAACCCCATGTTCACGATTATGAACAGCAGAGGTAGCAATGGTGCCCCTTCACATCCTGGGAGCGCGTCAATAATCCGAATATTTGATCAGAAATTACTGAAAGTACAAACTCAAAAACCATGAAGGTGGGAATTTGTTTTTAGTCATATAGCTTACCACTTGACAAACTACCGATGTTTAGAAAGCAAGCTGCCCCATCTTTGAGATAGCTCGGAAGCTGGCTGAACGGTATTCCCCATAGCTTGGACATGAAAGGCACAAGTAGGCAGATGAACAAAGCCTGCAAGCGACAGCATTCCAAAAGATCAAGTAAGAAACTTTATGCATATCATAAATACGTACAGTAACTTAATCACAGGGGTTAACAATTGAAACCCATATTAGAATACCCACTTGGTAAGCAGATCCAAAGGAGTTGACCACGAAAATATCTACTGATCCTCCCTGTGATTTTCAGGCGTCAGCATTAGCAAACCGTTTGAATGATTAGAATGACCTTCCGAAGAGAGGTGGCCAAAAGTAAAGATTGAATTTTCTAAGGAATGTTAATCACTAACCTATAAACTCAACAACCAAACAATGTAATAATGTTAAATGCAACGATTGTATCAATACATGTATGAGGCTACAGTCAGTTTGAGGGATTTGTACCTTTAAACGATGTTTAGCTTTCAGGAAAATAGTTTCCTGCAAATAAGAGTTACTCCCATTAGACAAACAGTAACAAGGTTAGTGGTTATGCTAAAAGTCAAAGGAATAGTTAACACGAACCTTGAGTACAGTATCGGCAGCTTGGAACAGAAACGAGAGTATCATTAAAAGACTCCAAAAAATACCGGCTTCTTTCAACGAATGGCCAGCACTAGATCCACTGCAACATGAAGAAAACTGCAATTGTTCACCACCATTTTAACATACAAGCATTCCGAGTCCTTATCATTTTTAAGACTGTTTTATTGGTAGAGGTCTATACCCGAGAGCATAATTGACTACTTCATAAGATACAAGTTTAAAAAAAGGTACCTGGCTACAGTTATAATGACACCAATAGCAACAAGGAAACACCCTAGTAATTGATTGATTTTGTATCTCTTTCCAAGGAAGACAGCTGACATAAAAATCTGCCACACAAGGAAGGTCTGCAGAACAAGTAATCGTCAGAATCGCCAGTAGACTTTTGATAACACTTCTACTTAGAAGATTGAGATTAGTATCCAATCCTCCCAATGCTGTAATGTTACCGGAAACCAAAACAAATTTCACAAGCAAGGGAGTTTTCTCCGTAGAACTCTTTGTTCTTTCACTGTCAAAAAGAGAAACACATTGTTCTATGACCAAAAACAATTGCAGAAGGAGCAGATTGCAGATGACTTTACTTCACTACATATATTGAAAGCTAAATTCGATGAATTTTACAATTTTCATCATCAGAGAGACAAAGAAGTTAACCACAGGCTGAGAAATGAGCGAACCCTGCATTAGCACAAGCTGCCTCCTTTTGCTTGACTATCCAAGGAATCAGAATGATAATTAATAATGATTTCTTTCTTGTTATTATCTCACTTTTTCAGCTTCCTACTGCTAACTCTGGTTCTATTATTTGAAAGCACCATCTTAGACACTTCTAAGCAAGGTTAGATACTTGGCACTTTAAGAACTCTTAATCTTCAAACAGGAATATGAATGTATCGAGAACAACAAAGGTAGAAACAAGACCTACAAGGACTTCAAACACTTAATCCTCAAAGCTGAAAATATTATGTACCTGAGATATAACTGGAATCGATGCTCCAGAAAGGTTTGCTGATTCAAGAAAGAAGTCAACGAATTAACACTAAAAAATAACAACCTTAATGTCTTCCACTCTAGATTGCTATGGTAACGACCTAAAGAAAATGTAATACTGAATGGAACCTTTTATGCACCAGATTACCACTAAAGCTCAATACCCACAAGTCAAGAAAACATGAAAAGGAAAAGACAACAGAAGACATAAAGATTCCTCATTCAGTACAATAGAAGGAACATGCTCTATTGTAATTATGCAAAAATATTCCCAAGCTGAAAAGACAAGTCTGATAGTCAATTGGCCAAGTGATCATGAGATAAACATACATCAATTGGGTTACACAGGCTACTGAGCAATGTGGATGATGAAGCATTTCAAATTGACCATCAAAGAGTTCATGTTTAACCCGCAAGGAAGCAATAATACAACAGTCAATGAGAAATAACAGAAGATATGTTTACCTGCTGCTGCCATTCCAGTAGCAGCTCCAAGAGCCTCCAAGATTCCAACAAGAATGAATGGACCTTTAGGCAACGAAAGCATCTCATTGCTCACAATGCCAGCACGGTGCCGGAAATGCAATATGGTAAAATACACAAGGACATACCTGAGGTTCCAAAAACAATATTTTTCAGTCAAAGTGACAATCCGAATTACACCAAGAATACGGTGTTCCAAGTTTGAATAGTAGCATGTTACCACACTTACTGTTATATTTTTATAAAGGACTTCTCCTAAAATGTCATCAAATTCCAATTTTATCCAGCATCAAAGCCCATAAAAGCATTCCCAGCAGGCAGTACTATATAAGTATCCCACAACATTCATACATTATGAAGACAAAGACAGTATCAGAATTAAGATCCTGAAACTTCAAGTTAACCAGGTGGAAGTTCAAAAAATATTCAACAGAATGCAATCTTGACAAAGAGTGGCATTTTTGTGCATTCTCTCTTCTTTGTCGCATTTGCTGATGGTGTCGACACATGAGTGAGCTTAATAAGAAAACAAGGTAACTAAAACAAGACTTTGCATCAGATACTTCCAGCTTTAGTAGCTTATTATAATACACCCATGGGGTCATCAAAAAGAAAAAAAAAAGATCTAATGTCTAAACAGAGGACCCTGCAATGCATTTGTAAAAGCCGCTTGGTGGATCAACTGACCAGAACCAAAAAACAATTAAAATTTGTCCGGACATGTGACCTACACATTCAAAGCCAGAAGCTCCACTTGCACCCTGCATGATATTTTTATTTTCTTGCGACAGAGAGCTAGTGATCTTTTTAAGTAATTACAAAATTCGTAGAAAACAAAGGAACCGATCAAATTATCACCCACCACTACAGTTCTACTCGGCAATGGTCTCTCTTTCCTTGTTCCTCCTTTTCACTTTTGTGGGCGTAATGGAGACCCCATGTGCCAGAGCTGAAGACTGAAGAGTGTTCAACTTGTTCTTGTGAGGCAGCAATTAGGACTAGACCCACCAAATTAGAAAGCACCTCGAGTCCCCTTTTTCCTTTTGCTCTATTGTCCATCCATCCCATTCCTATTTCTATTAATCTGTAATCATGGCTTAGAAAGATGCCCAAACTTTCCTAATTCGACTCTCGTCCACTCATAACTTTTGCAATGAGATAACAATAGAAAATTCTTCTAGTGCTAATGCAAATGCTTATGATCATACGTTTGGAAAGCAAGAGGCAGTTGAAGGAATCACGACTGTAAATGGAATCTGCTTTAAAATCTCCCAAACAGGACAGTCTCATTTTGATGCACAACACACGAAACCACAATAAGAAACGGGTCAATGAGATAATTTCAGATGCTAGTGTAAAGTTGCGCCATCACAATAGTCATTTACTAGGCCAAAAATAAAAACATTGGAAGGCAAGATATTATTAGTTCCGTCTGTTTTTGGTGATGAGAAGTGGTAGCTAAGTAGACACGCTTCTGTGAGATGTGAAACGAATAGGACATGTCCAATTTTCCCCAAAACAACGTAATAATTTGAGTCTACGATTTATAGCGAATTACCAAATCAATGCTATACAACGATACACGGTTGATTTAACTTTAACACTATACTATAAAGAGGAGTAAATGGCGTTTTTACAAAGAGTCATTGAGATTCGAACATTCGATCATTGAACGGGACCGTGGGACCACATTGCTGCCATGATATGTAATCTAATTCAATATTGCCTAGCAAATCAGGTTTATATGTTTATGCTGTGAACAAGGAGAAAATCTAAATTCGAGATTTAATTCGACATTAGTTAAATTAGCGTCATCCCTGGCCTCCCTTACTTTATTTAGCATTTACTATTTCCAGATTAATTACAATTAATTAATAATCAGTTGATTAAATGAAATGCTAAACTAATAGTTAAATTCTCAATTCGGTGGAAAGGGACTATAGAGAGGATTGGAAAACAGGGTAAACAAAAAAGCATTGCGCCAGAATGCCAATCGAAGCGATCAAAAATAACGGAAAGGGAGCGGAGGAGTAATTAGTAAAATTACCCGACGGTGGCGAGCTGCGCGAGAAAGAAGGGATAATGCTTGAGAGGAACGAGGGCCAGCTTATACAACAACCGATTCCCCACCCCTAGCACCACCGTCGCCGCCGCCGCAATCGCCACCTCCACAGCTCGATTCTTCTCCCCGAACCGACTCGCAATCCCTGCCTCCGCCGGCGCAACATCGGGAGTCGTCAGATCTCCTCTGTAATCCTCCTCCTCCACCGCTGGATTGCCGACGGCGGAATAAGAGAGAGGCTCTGCCGGCAGCTCCTCCTCCTCCGCCGCCGCCTCGTTTCCGCCGTCCGGACGTTCCCGCACGCCTCTGCTGTGTCCGCCAACCGCCGCCTCGGCGAGGAACAATTCCGAACGCCTCCTCGAGACCGCTCTCAGTGAAATTGCCGGTTGGAGGAGGTGACGGTTACGAATCCTTCTGAGAGGGAGGGAGACGACTTCCGCCACCGTCGAAGCGGAATCCTTCTGCCCGCGGTGGAAATCCAGCGGCGCCGCCGATCCGGCGGTTAATCGGCGGCAGCATGACATCATAATCTTGAAATTCTTTATCCTACTGATGCAGAGAGATGAAATTGTCTGTATTCAGATGGAGAGAGAGAGAGAGAGAGAGGAAGGGCGGGGCTGCTGGGAGGAAGAAGAGAGGGAAACAAATTATGAATTCGCTTTGCATTTATATATAGCACTGACACCAATACAGCCATTGTTTCGAACAGAGCATCGGCCGTCGAAAGAAAGAAACGATTTCTTTTCCGGCAAATTACAAAATCCCCCTTCCATTTTCTAGCTGTGAAGTGGGGGTGGCGATGGCGGCAACAAAAACACAACTTTTCAACCCCTTTCAATTTAAAATCTTTATCATATCATATCACCACTTTCTCCTCTGGAGATGTAGAATTTGCAATTGATTTTCTAATACAATGTATCGAATCATATGAAATCCAATGGCTAATGATATCAATATCAACGATATAGCCAATAAATAATTTACGACTCTGGTTTCCACTTATTCATTTGACTTGGTCGCCCGCGATAGATGATTGCTCTTTAGATAATTCTATTTTACAATCTCGTATCACTTGTATGCTTCGGGCATCACCTGAATGACAAAATCTTACAATACGAGAGAATGTCGAAAAAAGTGAAACTTAAGTCGAAAGAATCATTAACATACATACAGGTCCATATGGTTTCGACCTTAAGGGCTAGAAAAGATGCTCAAACTCAATGTCATTGAGGTTTTAAGGACACTCTCTAAACAAGTGTTGCCTGTCCTTCAAACTCAACAAGATCTCAAGACCTAAAAACTATCATCTCATTCTACTATCCAAAGCGTCCAGGCATAACAAAATTAACATACCCGATATAATAGACATTGAAACTAGTGAGAAAATATGATTCTTGAATCTCCTGATATAATAGACAATGGAACCAGTGAGAAAATATGATTCTTGAATCTCCTACACTATCATGGCTCCTCTACCACCATCCTAATCAGTAGCACTAAACAACTTGATTGTGCTAGACAATTGACAACTAACCGGCTACACGAATGCGGGCGCGGCCATCAAAACAAAGCATAAAACTGAAAAGGAATAAAGCACCAACAGCTCACAGCAGTGACTGTTGACATAATTTACTCTCAAGGTTTTACCTCAGGTGGCGCAAGTGGCAGCCTGCATATAGCTCATGATGTGCTCAATCAATAAGAATATAAGATGCTCTTTTAGTTCATCAGCCACAAAGCTTCATATAACCAGCTGCATTGACAGCAAACCACACTCGTCTTTAAACACTTGAGTTAGATGGAGCATCGTCCATATCTCATGTAGGATCATGTCATACAAATTCCCATGTACTCGAACGATACCACCGGACAGCTCCTGGTTTTTCGTGGATCAGTCGCCAACAGTATATGAAGCCAAAACTGCAAAGCACTCTAATAATCATAGTCACTCTCCCTCTGCGATTCGTCTTCATCGTCGTCGAACAAATCCTCAGCTGGATCATACACAATCATGCTGGGGAAAAGCTCCAAGAAATCATCTTTCACCTTCTCTCTCAACTCTGGATACGGGATCAGCCCCTTCAACATCACTCGGAAGGGCAATGACAGTGGTGGATCAGGTGACTGCCTCATTTCATCGTATATCTTCATTGCTTCTGATGGCAACCCATTGTCCAGAAAGGCTCTGACGATGTCCCCAAATGTATGCTGATCGAATAAAACTTGTTCTCTCTTCAAATCTCGCCACACTTGCTCCACTTCTTCCACTTTCTTGTTTCTTGCTAGCACCATGAGCATGTCTCTATAGAAGAACATGTCCGGCTTGTACCATATCTCCTTACGAACCACGTCGTATAACTGCAGCCGCCCAACAAAAAATGGAGAACCCTCAATGAGATAATTCATCTGGTTGCTCAAAGTAAGACTCTAATTCGAATTCCCAAATGGACAAACAAAACTTGAGCGAATGAAATCGGAAGAGAGAACGAACCTTCATGCAGAGGAAGATCTGGTCTTGGCGCTGGAACTCGGCGAGTACAGCTAGGAGATCGGACTTGAGAAGGCGAGAGACGTGGGACTGGATGAATCGGTCTAGGCGCAGGGGATGGGGTTGGAGCCGTTTCAGTTCCTTAGCGGCGAACAGCCCCTCTTTGCCCAGCTCTTTCTTCCGCCTCCATATCGACAAGCTCGGTCTCGTCCTGGGAGCTAAATTCGAGAAGTGGTTCTCCCTCTGTGCAGCGCAAGCGTTAGAAGGCGGCGAGACGCGGCGGGAAAGCGAGGACGACAAGGGCTTGCGGGACAGAAGAGCAAATTTGGAGATCAGACGCAACATTCCTCCCTCTTAGGCATTTCTTCGAACACCTTCTCTGCGAGCGACATTTTACAGAGCAGGCGCAAAAATAAATTTGGGTTCCTACTATGTGGGCTTGGAAATAAGCTGGCCTTTTCAAGGTTTACGGTTTCGGTCAGGTTTAGGAGCATTTTTGGGCCCATGAAATCTAACGACTACACAGTCCTGGAAAGTTATTGGACCTAGATGAAATCTTCTATCTATCTATATCGGGTTAATTGCAAGGATGGTCACTGGGTTTACTAAAACCGTTCATATTTGGTCACTGCAAATATTTAATTTCATTCATGGTCATTAAGATTAGTTCAATAGTTCAAGTTTGGTCACTCTCCGTTAGTCTCCGTTAGTTTTTGCTGATGTGGCAGTCAACTATTATAGTTGACCGTTAAATGAGTGACGTGGCCATTAAAAGAATAATAAAATAATAAATTTAATATTTATAATTTACCCCTCATTTTACAATTTAAACCAACGTGGACGACGAGGAGGCTGGGGCGGTCCTGTTCCGCCGCCGCACCGTCTAGGGAGAACTTGATCGGGAAGTTCTAGGTGGGGCTGGCGCCGCCGGCGCGATCGACGGGTCTTGGCTGACTGATTGGAGGGCTCGCCGGAGATGGAAACGACAGTGTACAAGTCCATCTTGGAGATGGGGTTGACGCTCTCAAGGCGTTGGGCGGAGATCAAGTTGATCTCTAAGGTCGTTGGCTCCATTTGTTTTTTGACCGATGATTGTGTGGAGAGGGGAATGCGAAGGGTGGGAATTTTATGGTTGAAAGGAAGGGATGGAAGATAACGGAGAGAGGAAGAAGAAGTCAATGGACTGGAAATTGGAATTTTGCTTCTTGGTCAGGACGGAAGAAAGAAGCTAGGGGAAAAATTGCAGACTGTAACGCTTGGAACTTTCGAACTGAGCAAATCAGTGATCTCTGATCAATGTCCAGTTACATATTTACAGAGGAACCGAGTGACAGGCGAGCTCCGACAAGCTCCCTCTAGGACTTGGCAACTTCACCCAGCTCACGTCCACGTTCCCTCGCCAATTTGAACCTTGCGATTAACGATTTGGTCGGCGGGATCCCGCGTTCGCTCGTCGGGTTGAGCAGCTTGGTTCAGATGAAGCTCTATAACAACTCGCTGAAAAGATGGAGCTGCCGTTGGCGAGTCTCAATCTCTACGAGAACGGGTTTGAAGGCAACTTACCGGCGATATTTGCTTTTTCCCCAAATTTGTACGAGCTCCGGCTGTTCGGCAACAAACTAAACAACGATCTGCCTCTAAATCTCGGCAAAAATTCGTTGTTGAGATGGCTGGACCTGTCACATAATCGGTTCACCGGTCCACTCCGCGCAATGCTGTGCGAGAAGGGGGAGCTTGAGGAGCTCCTGGCATTGTAAAATTCGCTCTCCGGTCAAATATCGGCGAGCTTGACCGCGTGCCGTAGCTTGGCCCGAATTCGATTGGGGAACAACGAGTTATCGGCGACCGGGTAAGTTTTATTTTTATTTTTTAATAGTTGTAAAATGAGGTGTAAATTGTAAATATTTAATTTTTTTATTTTTTTAATGGCCACGTCACTCATTTAACGGTCAACTATAATAGTTGACTGCCACATCAGCAAAAACTAACGGAGACTAACGGAGAGGGACCAAACTTGAACTATTGAACTAATCTTAGTGACCATGAATGAAATTAAATATTTGCAGTGACCAAACATGAACGGTTTTAGTAAACCCAGTGACCATCCTTGCAATTAACCCTATCTATATCTATCTTCTATCTATCTATAAAACTAGCTTTTACCCGACTCGTTGGTCGGATGAAATTTATTTTATTTTATTTTTTATATTACTTTATGTTAATGAATTCATCCTTATTTTCAAATGATTTGATTTTTTCTAAATAATTTTTTTATTATAGAAAGCTGTAATAGGTATATTAATCACACGTTGCTGTTACATCGTCCAGCCGCAGCTGATTAACCAAAAACACATGTGGTCTATCCAACCAAAGCTCTCTACACTACCAAAGAGTCTTACAGGAGGGGACGCGACTTAGTTAACCAATTCATGAAGCATGAGAGCGTTTATTTTAAAAGAATTTAATATAGAGAGCGTGGACAAAGCGTTACTACTATATCATAACGAATTATTTATTTAGTAAAATTAAAACTATAAGCAATAAAATTATTAAAATAAAATTTATTTAGCTATATAAATGATTGCCCCTTATAAAAAAGTAGTTATATAGCTGATATTGTTTTGACAATGAAATGCATAGGTTACTGTTTCATACAAGTGTGTTCGGATTCTCTTATTTTTTGTCAAAAAATATAATGACATTTTCATTTTTTTATCTATAAAATTTATTTAGTTCACAAGTTTATAAGATTATTTGAACCTTTAAATATAATATAATTAAAAAAGTTAATCAGTTGGCTTTGGGCTTCCATTTTCCAATATAATTTTAAAGGCCTATTCTTTCTTTTTATAAGAGATTTTTCTTTACAAACCCCATTCACGTTCCAAAGTCATCTGTGTTTTTTTGGTTCTTTCTTCTCCGGAGAGTTTGTTGATTATTGAGGGGCCATCAGTTTCAATCAGCCGAAAATAGAAGCACCTGGTCATGGCTTCTTGAATTCTCATCCAAAAAAACTCTACTCTCTGCTATCTCTACGTTGTATATCCCTCTTTCATGCTCGGAGAATCGAAAAACAAAATTCTCTTCTCCAATCACTCACCGCATCACCTATGCATTTAGCATCTCTACCAAGAACCCTGATGTCGGAGTTGAGCTTGTAAACGCCATTTGGAGGGCGTTGTCATGATAGGGGTGTGAGATTGGATGTTGCATATCCAGATCATCCTTTGATTGAGCTGAGCTGACAATTTTCTTTTTCAGTTACACCATCATTCCAGCAATTTGTCCTCTCCTTCTCTTATCAAAACTTGCTGTCACAATATTCTGTCAGAAAATGTTCTCTCTTCTGCTGCCTGCACTCCCAATTAATAGCACAGATTTTCAAGTTTCAAAAATCCGTCTGAGTCGCGTACTTCCCCAACAAAATTGCACTCCGGAAGAAACGATCCGCGGATTATGTGTGCTCTTTCTCCAATTCGCATTTTGGAGATCCAAAGCGGGAGCATTGGGCATAAGCCTGCAAATTCCGGTTACCAAAGATAAGATTGGTTCTGCAGAGCTTCGTAAGCATTAAATTGGAGTGGGTGGTCCGTGGAATTGGATGTGAGGAATGAGAATTGAAATTGGCCAGGAACGGAACACCTTATTTTGGCCCACAACTCTTCTGCCGAACAGGTTTCTGTTTCACAGCCAGCATGCATAATTGTGGCTTCCCAAATTATCCCTCCGCAAAACCCTTGGACTGGAGGTTGAAATGAAATAAAACTTTTCTCATTGCGCAATTAAAGTAGGTATAGATATATAATAAACATACCAAAGGCACTAAAACCCGTAAGTTACCGCCAAAGACTTCCAACCTTGTTCCTAAAATATAAACCCCAACACTACACATCGATATTGTCTAAAACTACTTGTATCATTTTGGAGGACTTCTCATCAGTTAACGTCATAGATAACTCATCTTCCACATCAACTTAGTACGTAGATGAGTCAACGTGCTTTTGTTTGTACAAGGTAAATAGAAAATCATGATGAGTACATATCAACAAAATGGAGTTATTGAGTAATTAAATTTCAATTCTGAATCCCACATGGAGTTATTGGATCTTGGAAAGAAAACTAAGATCCAATATTATCATGGATAAAAAAGACCATCAATCATAATCTTTCTAAGCTTAATTTTACAATAAGAAATACCCATTAATTCTAAGTAAGGGCATAAGAGTTCAACACCCATAATACAAACTAAATTACATCAAAGTCTACTATATTGAAAATGTTTTATTTTCTTTTCGACATAACTATGTACAGCTCTTAACCTATAAATGAGTTGAACTCAAAATCAGATTCAAACAGTTACACACTCCAGAAAGGAAAAACGCCATTAATTCACTAAGCTAGTACAAATTTGGGAGACAAACAGACACCAGAGGTTGTAGAGTGGTAGCAGTAACCAACCTCGTTGAAGAGAATTATGTTAGGATGGCAAAGCCATCAGTTATTATAGTCAGTTTTGCCACATTCACATCAATATGTAAGATCTAGTTAAACAACTTTACAATACATACACAAAAAAAAAACACACAAAGGTACTTGTAAGATATAGTTAAACGGCTTTAAGAAGTTGCAATCTCTTCCAACACAAGTATAGCTCTGCAGCAAACGCTGAAGCAAAGCCTCGTCCACTTCTTACACCTGAAACATAGATGACTACTTGGGAAGTTGAATACATGAAACATAATTAAGATTTGCTGCCAAATAATGTGCTTCTAATTCAACCACACAACATTAATATTTGACTGAGTGCTACCATAAACCTTAAGCTGAAAAGAGGCTTCCAATTGAGGAAACACCATATCTTGTGCATATTTTGAAGGGATGGAGAAGGTACTACTTAGAAATTTGAAAGGCATTAGTTAGTCAAACTAAACAATGGAACGGGTGTTACACAAAATTGGAAGGTACATTATGAAATAAATAATTACACAGAAGATGTTTGGTGGTATAAGTCCATGAGAGAGCATTAATTACTTAATTAGTAAAAAAGAAAGGAAGAGCAACACAAGGAACCAGCCACTGGTACTTAATCCTCTTCTCATCAGAAGTTACAGAATTGGAAACCATAACAAATAGAGCTAAGAACATATGGACAAATAAAATCAAATAAGCGATAGATGTTGATTAAAATGAAACGTTTAGTGCGGAGAAACATACATCAGTCCAAATACTCTTAAACTGACAATACTGTGTTGGAGAAGGGAAAATAAATTAGTTGTACTTCTCATTAAAATGAAAATCCAATCATTAATAGTTGATAAACCATGTTTTACAGAGCTGTAATTTGGGAATCATTATTGAATCTTGAGGTGCGTCTTTACA